TGGTCCATAACAGAGAACAGAGGCTTTGCTCAGCTTGGATAAATGTGTAACTGTTAAAGTGCATTGTGACGTGAGTTCTGTTTCAAATAGAAGCTGTGGAGTAAAACATCACTTACGTTTGCTGTTAAGTTATAATCGACCTATCGCACGTTTGACACTATATAGGAATCAATAAATTGGCCATGGAAAAATCAGATTATTGTTTATTATTTGTCTCCACAGCATTTCATCTGCATATAAAATGATGTCTGACTGTGAGCTGCACAGAAATCTGACTTTTCACTTCTTATGTCAGCGGCGTCTGTAGTTTTGCTGTCTCTAGCGTGGTGGCCTGTCCCTTGTAACCATTGGTAACCATCCTGTGATGAGCTTTTATTAAGTCCAAAACAAAGGCAATATTCCTTCCAGTTTGTGCTGCAATGATTTTTTTTTTATGGTTGAGCAAAGTGTTTGCCACAGTCATGCCATCTGCTATGTCTCCTCCTGCCCATGGTATGAAAGGAAAGACAGTGCTCAGTCATAAAGAGGAAAACAAAAAGAGAAAGCAGCATTAAATCAGCACTACTTCACGTTTATGCCACTTTCTGATGAAACCAACAGCTTGCTGCTATTGCGGACACCAAGGACAATGTGTTTCCTGTCAAAGATGGCTTCCACGCACTCAAAGGCATCGTTAATTCCGTAAGTTCACCTGCTTTCTGTTCGTGTGTGTGCAAGTGAGCTTCAGCTAAACAGTCATGCACTTTGGCACAAAACTGGCCATCTTTTATTGGTTTTATGCTGACTTTATGAATAACAGTGTGGTAGCATAGTGCAAACGTTGGGGCTGAGGTGTGTTGGTGGACACATAAATAGTCTCCAGTCTTGACCTTTGAAGTTTGTCACAGATCAAAGCAAAACCTCAGTGAAATTGCGTCTGAGCTACATGGAAAATGTTTGTGGAAATAGCTGCTCATTGTGTCCTCAGTCTGTGGACAGAGAGGGAAATGTCTCACTCATCTAGAGCGAGTTAGAGACTGGAATGGGAGCAGCTTGACAGTTAGTCACTGTCCATATGACATCCCCTTCACAGTGTTTTTATTGTGCTGAGTGTCAAAACTCTCAGTGCTGCAGCAGCGCTTCAGTGGGATTAAAGCTTTTACTTTAGAGGAAAAATTCAGAATACAAGTGCAACTCGTCAGACTGATCTTATCATGTAACAGTGAATAGCTGTTTAAAGGACCCTTAAACACTGTTTATAAGACGTTTCCCGTGCAGCCTCCTCATCTCCTGCCAGCCCATTAGTGATACTTTCCATTTGCTGCAGCTTCTCTCAGCCAAGGCAGAGGTTGTACCTGAGTCTGAGCTCGGAGCCCTATACGGCGGACTCTGCCCTGAGCTGGACTTGCATCTGCGTCAGAGCCAGCAGTGTTTAGAGAAAGAGCAGAACTAGTCTGAGCTGTCAGATGTGTAGCTGGAAGGATGCAAAGCCAATGGGTGTAACAGAGAACAACAACTGTCATTGATTGTGCTGCTTTAGAAATAACTGTCATGTGAAGGAGGGTCCAGAACTGTGGCTTTTCAGTCTTTGTCTTACAAAACGAACAACAGGAGCAATGCCTGGTTGCAGGCGGCAATAGTTAAAATGGAGATCTTCCATAATTTTAAGTCCACTTTTCTGCTTAGTTTACTTTAAACATGAAATTCATGCATGACAGATTTCTATTGCATGACCTCCAAATATCATCTTGGGTTTTTTAAACTGAGCGTGTGCAACATGTGTCACATTTATTTGCAGCAAAATGATAAAACCTGGTAACAAATGCAATCACCTTTCATTCAGAGCAGGTACAGCTGGATCCTTAAAGCTCGAGTAGATCTAGCACTGAAAATGGAAAAGGAAAGACTAGTTTTAACTTTAACTTTAACTTCCATCTTGTAATAATTAACACTATAAAGTGCTTACAGACTCTGAAAGGGTGGATTTGATTATTGATCAGTAGAAGCAATCTGTTTGTGCACACACAGTCTTTGTCATATTTGTGTGCTTTTAGAAACAATAACACTTTTTTAAAAATGTTTTCAAGAATGTCCAACAACAAAAAGCAGAGCTCGGCCTCTCAGTCCTCGGAGCACAGTGACGCTCACTGCATCCAAATGCAACACGGAGCATTCTTTTCTGATTAGTAATACTGGATTCCTGACGGGCCTGGATCATCTCCTCTCTGTTGGATTTCAAGGATTTGAGATCATCTGTGCAGCCTTTTGCTGCAGGATCCACGCTGCCTCTGTGACCAGCATGACAAAACTCACAGGAAGACCTCGGCGAAGTGGGAATTCTGCTCCCCGTTAGGCCAGTTAGTTTTGTTCCAGTGCTACACTAGGCCTTTGTTGTCTCAGTCACAGGACTTTTGGGAAAACCCCAAGTTGCAATTTAGCCACACCGTTATTGTTAACCCCATTTAAGTAGTGAAGATGTCCGGCTGAGTTTAGCGAGATATCCGCCATTGCTCGTTCTCGGATATTAACTTGTGATGCATCCTTTTAAATAATGTATGAGAAAAAGCCTCCCTGAACTTTTCTGCCTAATTATTTCCACATAACGACTACCCGGCCGCAGCCTTTCAGAAACCCCACCAGTTACAGCACTGGCTGAGATATTTGGATGACTCTGGATCTTTGGACGGCTGCCTCGTTTTCCCCCTGCAGCCTGTGAATAATGTTTGTCACCACATCCCAGAGAAATGAATAGCTGCTGTTTGAGTTCACCCAAACGGAGGCCTCTCATTTCCATATTTACATCATATATTTAATATCTCCAAAACACAGAGGATCTAGTTTGTACTTCCTCCAACCCTTACAAATTACAAAAAGTACAATAATGTTTCTTTATGTGAGAGAAAGTGCTGCTCGTCCAAATGGCAGATTTCCCCTTTTGGAACAAAGCTGTTCACATTTCTTCACTTAAAATTGGGCCATTCCCTATTTCATCATTTTCATCTTAGGCAGGCAAACAGTCAGTTTTTTTATTTTTTTTGCTTTCTTTTTTTCTCGGGCACTGCCGAGGAAGTAATTAGACGGTGAAGATAGTGGCACAGAGGAACAGCAGCAGATCCTTTTACTCCCAGCTGTCATCGACAACCGCCTCCACTCTAACAATTCCATATCAAACCATCATATTTAATAAGGCCGCTGTAAGCGCTTCCCCTCTTCGCGCCTCAGATTGAAGTTTCACCCAACATCAAATGAAAGGTTCAAGTGTTCTATATTGCAGTTAATATGCTTCTTTTTACTGACTGTGTACTGGGATTTGCATAGTTTGTCCTTTGTTGATTTATTGAATCATAGGGGATAGTACAGCTCCATGACAGTGCGCTCACACAGGCCTCTTTATATGATAATGCAAGATCCTGGAGGTTTCTAATAGAACTGAGGAATGTAATAGTCTTGCATAATTTTCCCATAATGGCTGACACCGCTGCCGTTTCTCCTTCCTGTTCTCCTCGCTGCTGCTATTCAGCGCTCCCCTTTAGCCGCCAGGCCTCGATCAGGAGCGAGACATTTCTCAGGTGTTGCGCCCTAATCTGTTTTCTAAACCTGACAGAGCCGATAACGCTCAGGACTTGATGTATTTATTCTTGGTCTGTGAGCGATAATGTACCCATTTAATTTTTTTCCTCATCTTCCAGATATTAAAGCGATCTTGCACAGAGATCGTGACTGTGGAGCCCTCCAGCGTATGCGTGAATGGTGAGTGGATCCTCCTGCTGCAGGCAGCCGCTGCAGCTGTGCACAGATAGACGTGTCCTGTGCAGGAATTCCCTGTTTTACTACACGTTTGCTGAACTTCCTTCCAATAAACACTGGCAAGGCAGCAAGTCTTTTTAGAGACACTCAAACACTATACTGAACCTCAGAAACTTGAAATTATTTTGTTGTGCAGCGTTTTAGCCCTTTAACACACACCTGTCTCTGCTTCCTGACACTTTTCCATGTGCGACCCTTCATTGTTTTAGCTTGCACAAATCATGAATTGTGTGAAATTAGAGTGAAGATTTCCTTCTCATATTGTTTGATTTGAGGCGTAAACATATAAAAGTGTCCACAATTTTGTGAGAAAAAAGCAAAAGTTTGAGGAAAATCAGAAAAATTAAATATTCTTGTGTTTAACATAAATCATTCTGTGACTCCCGCGCCGTGAGGGGAATCACAGAAAATGATCACTGCAGTTTATAGTCTGACTGTTTTTATGTAGTTGTAGGGGAAAAGAGAAGCCGTCACCATGCAGTGTCAGGACATGGTTGTCTGATAAAATCAGGATGCTGCCGGTGTGCGAAAGCCCAGAAGCATCTTCCTGCTCCCAGTCTTATCTCCTGCTTGTTTACATTCCAGAGTCCTTCGACATCGTCCTCAGAGGGAATGGCTTCGCCCCTGGACGCAGCAGTGAAGGCGTCGTCTGCGTCTTCATGGTTGGCCAACAAACCTTCAGTAAGTGGTGCAAACCACTAGAAGTACATTACTCGAGCTTCAACATGCTCTTTCAGCACAGCTCTGATACCTTCTAATCACTTTAAACAACCAGATGTGGAGTCACATTCTGGCCTGCACTTAACAGTTTGTGTGCTTCAGATTAAGACCTCAAAGCATTCATCCAGTATCATTAATCTACTGTAAATGTCAAACAGGAAGTCGTGCACATCGCTTTATCTATAAATAAGCCAGAAGTGTTGCAGCAGGCTGGGTCAGTAATGGTGTGAAGTGACCGCAAGACCCAGTGACAGGAACGCAGCACAATAGCCAGTAGTATTTATAGAGATGTTTAAATTTAGTCAAAACCCAAAATGACACTGCAGCTGTAACAAAGCAGGTATAACCAGAAATGTTGTCCTGAAAAGGGCTTCACAAGGAACTAGGAGAATGTAATCTCTGCGGCTAAACAGTCGAAGGATGAAGTCATGTAGGCATAGCTCCACAGACTTTCTGGAGGAATTTAGCAACAATTCATAGTGTCCTAATGTTAGAAATAGCCATGACGGGGAAGTCCAAAGTCCCAAAAAAAAGAATGAAAGAGCTGAGTTTACATGCACACAAGTCCATTGTTCATACAGTCTCTGGGGGTCACCTCGTCCCTTGTCACAAAGAGGGTTTTTTTTTTTTTTTTGTCCCAATATAATTTTATTTTTTATTTAGCCCTTTATTTAAACAGATGGCCGGATTGAAATCGTGAGAGACCTGTGTACACGAACAACATGTACAGTTTAAAATATGACAGAACTTTGAATTACAGAGGTCAAAAATATAACTCAAATAATGAAAATGATCAGATTTGTTATTTTGCATGTATATGTTCAGAAACATTTTATTTGCTTACTTTTTCTGGAGCTACAACTCCTAAAATTGTTAGCTAAGCATAAGCTAGCAAGCGGAAGCCGAGGACAGATTTCTTTTGCTATTGTTTCCAAGGACACGAGTAACAGTTCATTTACCTTTTGTAGTTATAGCACAAGTTGCTGTATTTTTCTTTTTTCATGTCATGAGCAAGGATGCACAGTTTACATCTGCAGTGAGCTCCTGATACTCAGAAAATTGTCCTCAGTGAATCTGCATATCTCTGTCCAATCTGAATGTCCCCAGAGCCATAGACATGTCCACCCTCTCTCCCCAGGCACTGATCTGTCAGTGTGTCTTGTATGTTCATTTCTACTGTTTCAGGGTCTGTGAGGCTTTATTGTCTTTTATGAAACGTAATGTCAGCGGCATGTTCGTGGAGTGTCCTACATGAAATCGTATTTAACTCCCCGTGATGGGGTGTCAGGAGGAACCCCTGCTCTGGACTTGTCTGTTATCTCACAGCAGCTCCCTGCCTGCGCGCTGTAAATTCGACAGAAGAACAGAGACGATGTAGGTCACTGTGCTCCTTATTTTGAGCTCGCAGTCTGTTCTGTTGAGAAATCCTTTTTCAGGAACCAAACGGGATTTGGCACCAAAAGCCAATCTTTTCAAGCTCTCATTTGGCCGTGGGATCTGTGGGATCGACGACTGCCAGTGACAACACTTCCCTCCTTGACAAGTTATTTTTGATTTTCATCATTTCAGCTCTACTAAAATACTTGAGCATATTTTTTTTTTACTATTAAAAAGAACTTCATCTGAATTAGGAAGTGGCCGTTAGCAGATGTCTTCCTGTTAGTCCTTTCTCAGTTTAGGCAGTCTCACATTCGCCCACTTGGGGCTATTTATTCCCTTATTGGCTTTTGCATGTGTTCAGCCCAGACCTTTTTAACAGTGGGGCACCTTATAATTATGGACAGGCATCATGGCAACTATGGAACACACGCCACATATGAGGAACAGATGCTACAGTCTTTTAAATCACCAAAGCAGTTGGAGCCTTGAGCAGACGAGCAGAAAAAATATCAATAATCTGAACGACCTCCATGGCTGAAGATAGTTCAGGCCTCTGTCAACCTGCACTGACGAACACAGACACTGTGTCAAAATCCAATCTGTCTTCCTTTTCTTTGTTGTTTTTTTTCCAGCGGTAGAGGAGTGCTGGATTATCAACGTGATGTGACTTTCTCCAGTGCTTAAGAATGTGTGCATTATGATAGTTTAAAAACATTTTAGTTTATACTTGATTTGGTAAGAAATTCAGATGGTGCAGAGGGTTAAAGAGGACACAGAGTTCATGTGAGGGTTGTTGGCTCAAAGGTTCTTTCTGCTCAATCTGGGTTGATCTATGAATATAGCTCATAATAATTGTAGTTTTATTTCATATGAAGGGTGTTTAGGGGTTAAGTGTTTCAAAATAAAGACTTTTGTGATGTCCAGTATTCTCAGAGCAGCTTCTAAATGTTGTTATAGCACACAGAATTTAAATAAAAATATAGAGGTTTTCACTGAATATTGCTCAGTGAAAGCAATTTACATCTGGCCTGCAGTTGCCATGTCTGACCACAACGACCGCCATTTAAACAAAGGGACAAACCAGTGGACATGCTTGTTTTTATAAAAGCAAATCACTCATTTACAGGCAGAGAGAGAGAGAGCGAGCCTGTAACAGTAACAAGTGTAAGTGTGTTGTTGTTTTTTTTTTCTGCAGTCATACAAGCAGCTTAGTAACGTCGTTTTGTCTTTCTGGTTATTTTTCCAGCTCATACGCCGAGCGACGTGCGTAATGATTATCTGCTGTGTCCTGCACCAAAGCTCTATGAAGTCGGACAGTAAGTACACACCGTAGGGTTGTGATGGTGGAGCGAGCACAACGGTGTTGAATATAGGCTGGTCATGTGGCCTGCTGCTTAATAATGCAGGTTTCTCCAATACCGAATCCAATGATAAACTTGGGGCGAAAGTAAACTGCCATTTTAAAATTTGGATTGTAATTCACCAGTCATACTGTGTTCACTATGTCATGTCTTCACTTAAACACACTGGTGTATCGTAGTGTTTCTCCACCGACCTTAATTAGCCTGAGAAGACATATTATTACTGCCCTGTTTTTGGACCCTGATGTGATTAAAATTTCCTGTTTTGGTTTTGTCATGGCAGTGGGAAGAAATGGTGAAAACACACCCCAAATGAACAAATAATTAACAAGTAGTTCATTATAAAAAGAGTTTTTAGTTGGGTGTAGTACCTCATTTAAGCAAAAAACAGCATTTGCTTTTCTCAGATATTCTTCCAAGGTCGGCCAGCGGCCTGTTCTTGTTTGTCTTTAATCAGCAAAATGTTCATCTGCTAGTAAGTGAAGTCTCTCTAGTTTGTCACAAATGGAAAAAATGGCTGGAAATAGGGAGAGTATGCATAACAAATATAGCAATATTCTCATGAAGTAACTGTAGCTCATGTGAGATCAGCGTTTGTGTAGATGGATTTAGGGTTTGATCTTGGCACGTGTACAACAAAAGATGTGTGAAATTTTAATGACAGGCGTCGCACTGGGAATAAGTCCGTCTTCTATAAATGGGACCATCTAAATAGCTGTATATGCTCTCCTGTAAATTGTTGTGCTGCCATAAAGGACAGAGGAGGAGTATTGTGTGGAAAAGTGAGGACGTAGTGTTTTTCTTTCAGCCTCAGCCAGACGCTTATGTCAGTAGAAATCAGCAGAATGAATCATACACATACTCATATGGTTCCTTTTTCAGGACTCTTTCAAAATGATTTTATGACATTTTGTTTTTGTTCTGTGGCTCTCCTTTGTCTTCACTGTTACAGGTTGTTTTTTCCAGCTCTATCTCTCTTATATGTTTACATCCTCTTTCTCTTGGTCTTACGGGCTCAGTTCTTATTTTTGCTCCTTCTTAAAATGTCTATTTTGTGCAGATAAACAATTCCTAAATCTATAAATCAGCTGTGTGTTCAAGCAGTAGACGAAGGGATGAAGCGTTTGCTGTAAAGATGCAGTAAACAGTGACGGAACAACATACATACAACCCACTAAGATTCAAGTGAAAACTGTGTAAATACAAGTTTATTCCTGGCTGCGTACTTATTGTTTGATTTTAACATCATCTCTTATAATCCCAAACCATAACAGATGATGGCTAAGGCGTTCTAGATAGAAACAGATTTGGATGTCCTCGCTGACTGCAATCCATTCAAAAATGTATGATTAGGAGCGCCGCTGGCTCCTGAAGGTCTTTCAGCTTCGAAACAGATTATGTATCATATGATGAGGGTGATGCTGTAACCGCTCCAAATCCACTTGAACCTCACCTCAGATAATCCACTCAGTTTTAAACTCCATACTGCTCATGATAACATGTTTGTCTCCAGTGTTGAAAGATAAATGTAGGTTTTGTAGGAAGGTGAAATGTTTAGTTTGGCCCACATTCATGTTTTTAGTCCAGTTCCTGTTTGCTCGTTAGCGGGACATCTCGAACAGCGTCTTTAAATAGGAAGAGTTTAAGACACGAGGCGGTTCATTAAGAACAAAGGTGTGACCACTAAGTAAAGCGTGCACATCTGGTAGACGCACAGTAAACAGACATGTACAGTTCACATACATGTAAACTCACACACAGGATGTTCATTAGATTTTCATGGGGGGACGTTTTGTTGGAGTTGAATTTATGTAGACTTGAAGTGCATTTTACCTTCCATGTGTATCTGTGTAGTCACAAACAAACAGGATTAGTCGTTTACTCTAAAATACTGAGAAATGCAGATCAGAGTCCAGAGTGACATCTTCAGGCATCTTGTTTTGACTGACTGTTACAAATATATCAGAGGTTCAGCTTGAAATGATATAAAACAAAGAAAGGAGGCAAATCCCCACATTTAAGGCGCTGGAACTTCTTGTTTGGGCTTTTTGATAGAAAAATTATCTTTTTTTTAATTATCAGAGTAGGTGCCAATAAATTTTCTATTGAGTGATGAATAATTTCAGGACAAGAATTACTAACTGCAAAATTAGTCACTGAAATAAAAATAAAAAAAGGTTTAAATAAAATACGTATATCGTCATTTTATTTAAATGCAGATTTGGATCCAGAAGCAAACTGAAAACTTCTAAATGTGTTTGCTATTAGTTAAATTTAGTAAAAATCTTTTAGATTGGGTCATTTTACTTCACATTCAAGCGGTGCAGTGATTGTAATGTCCTGTCTGTCTTCACTTACCGATCCAGAGTTTTCCTCCTGAAATCAGAGAGCAAAGTAGAAGCTGATCAAAGATACAGTAAAAGGCTGACCAGTACTGACTACATCTGTAAACCACAGGCCGACAGCACCGGCTGTGACCTGATAGGACCTGAGGTGATGCTGATACTACGTGCTCACCATTTGCAAAAGGGCTGCTTAATTAACTCTTGGCTGCTGATAGTGACCTGTTAAGTAGTTAGCTGGTACGGGTGGTGAGTAAACACATCTGCTGGAGGGGCTTTAAAAGGATGTGTGACAGATGCAGCCGTTCCCTTTTCCACGCTCCTCATTTAAATAATTCACCGTGCACTGACAGTCCCTGCACCCCGGACCACCTGCATGGAACGCCACAGCCTGGAAACTTCTCTCTCTGTCCATCTGTCTGCTCTGTCTACTACTACCGACGCAGAGGGTGCTCGGTTAACACGACTCTGCTCAGCCGAAGAAGAATTGCCTTCTCTATGTTTCCCCTTTTTAATTGTTATGTTGCACACGCGCACTTCTCATTGGCGAAGACTGCTCGACTTTCTTTTTGACCTCTCAGATATGAATTGTAGGGGAATATGTGTATTTTGGGTACAGCAGTCACTTGAGTTGAGATGCTGAGCTGCGGCTTCCTGTGCCGCCGGGGACTCGGAGCAGCCAGCTCCACATCCAGCCGTGATGTCCAGGAATCACAGTGTCCTCAGTTGGTCATTGAGCTGTGTAGGAGCACTCACGGCAGAGGCATCATCTGTGCTGACAGCTGCGGCATCAGGGTTGAAACACTGGCATCTGCTGATGTCCTTCCTTCCAACTCCACCCTCCTCCTCCCCCTCTTTGTATCCCCATTAGGAGACCCAGCATATCCTGCTAGGGCACTGATCGAGAGGTTGAGTGGCTGTACTTTTGCAGCAGCATGTCCTCACCCGGTGTTTTCACAGTAACAGTGGAGGACAAAAAAAATAATAAAGGACTAAACTGACACCTGCTTTATGGAGCAGGTATAGTAGCTGATGCTCATTGGTTATTAAACCGACTGTCCCAGGTGTGTCCCAGGCGTGTCCCACGGGCGTCCCACGGGTGTCCCAGGCGTCTCGCTTTAGCTTCGCTCGGGGTGTGAGGATGTTTATAATAGAAGTGTCCTGTTGTTTGATCGTCCTCCATGTTGTGGCACCGACATGTTGGATGTGCACTGATTTGCTGTCACATGATGAACAGTTCTCTTGTTCCTTGAAATCAGGAAAAATTAACAGGTCCTCATGTCAAGAAACAACACTTTACAGTGCTGCACTTTTTTTTACTGTTAATTCTAATGTTTATTTTGTTCGCCGTGCCTGGAAACCAGTGGTATCAGTTCCTTTTTCTCTGAAGGTAAACTGCATTAATACCCAACTGACAAAAGAAAATAATGATTGGTGCCTAATACTTGATGTTTACTAATGGATTACATACAGTAAGTCAATCGATTCTGAGGACTGCTTATTGATTTTCAAAGCATATGGATATAAATAGAAACCAATGGCTGCCTGTGACATTAGATGTTCTAAAGATCAAAAGTCATACAGCATGCATTTGCAAATAATGAGCGACACTGTCAAGACGTGTAGTTAAGGAGCTAAAAACACACTAGTGTGGTCCTTCTCTAATGCCGATGCCAGGAAACAATCTCTTCTTGTTATTTTGTTCTGTCAGTCAGTTTGTTAGAGAGCATGTCATGGAGCACAGCTTCTCATTCATCTGGCCACCAGGCCTCGTGAGGTGATCCCTCCCATCAGCCCCTTCAGAACTTCTACCACACGAACTCATGCAGAGTGATGAATCCACAATGCCGAGTGACAGGCCTTGCATATGCTCCACTGTGAATTATTCAGCCTCCTCAATTTTCACATCTTTAAGGGGAGTTTGAAAGCCATTAGCGTCACCATTGTCAGCCGCTCCAGCTGCATCACATCACCAAAGCTTAGTGTCAGTGCAGGCCTACGTTCTGACAGATTAGAGCGAGCCGGGGGACAAACTTTTTCCACCGTGGAGCCAGAGATCTGCAGCAGGAAGAAGCCTTTTACTATTCAACTGGTGTCCCAGGGAGCCTGTGTCACTTTGTACCCACATTTTGACTGATCCCTTGGCCCTGTGACAACCTGCCCTCTCATCTCCTGTTCATTCAACCTGAACCGCCGACCCGCCAAACAACTGGAGATTTCTTGCCAGTGCTCAACATGGCCTGTGTAACATTTGGTAATGGTTCTCACTTTTGACCAAAAACAGTAAATTTACCCAAAGGTGTTGCGGTGCACCGTCACTGGATATGCACATTGGCCTGTAGGGAACACTTTTCGATGAAAGGTTGCCGATTCATCTGTCAAGGTTTTTTTTTTTCAGGTGAAGTAATTAATCATTATACTGTCAGAGAATAGTACTGATAGTCTTGTTTTGGAATAATGATACAAAACCCAAAGATATTCAGCAGCAAACAACAGAAAAAAACAGCAGTTTTGAGAAGCTGCAGATAAGTTTGTGTGGGATTTTTGCTGTACAGATGACTCAAACACTTTGTTGATTAACAAATTAGTTGTACATTTTCTGTTCTAGTAGGCTGACGAATCATTTTAGCACTAATTGTAATACAGTGGTACAGAATAACCACCTTAATAGAGGTTGTCACCCAACTGCTAATCACTCTTTTGTTGATATTCCTGGAGATAAAAGGGGTGAAAAGAGAGGAGGGCATACGACTTATACTTTTGTGATGGAGCAGATTCTGCCTACTCGACAGTAAATTAGCATTCAGCGTCTCAGAGACGTCAAAAAAGGCCTCGCCGACTAATGGTGGGCTGTGGTGCATTGAAGATCTCCAGCAGCAGAGGACGGGGCAGGTGTAACTCGCTTGGGAGCTTTCATCCTTCACATGCTGGGGTCCACACCTCCAGCTTGATTAACAACCTGCCCACCATTATCACGGCTTGAGAGTGTCAGCCAAATTAGCCTCTCCCCTCACCCATCCAGCACAAGCACGTCGTTAGCATAGAGGGACCCGGACGGCTTTGCTGAGCTGCAGAGGTGTGCGGTCAGTAATCCACAAGGAGAGAGACAAACTGGCTGCTAAGAGTTTTCAGATATTTTAGAGTTCTCATTTGTTGTGCATTATTAATTTTCAATGCATAAAAAGAGCAAACAAACAATTAGCTTCAAATCAACAACAAAAAAATAATAAATTGTATTGTGGAATTGGGTCAAAAAATTAAAAACAAGTAGCATCAACAAGTTGAAATGAGTGCATCGGTTTTAAAGTTCCATGAATTGCGTTTTAAATATTTAATGGATAAATAAGGAAAGGTGCAAAGGAGTCAGTTTAAGAATATTTAGAATACACTGCATAGTAATGGACACATGGTCTGGTTGCTCATCTGTTCTGAACCACAGGAGGATCGGTGGCCCGAGGCGCTGCCTCAGGCTAAATCCAAAGCAAAGAAAGCTCTCCTGTTATTATTCTGCAGCAGCAGTTTTAATGCAGGCCTCCCCTGTACGCTCCCACACTTGCAGCTGGCCCCTCACACACAGCGCCCTCTGCACGCTTCCTTCTCTCCTGCTCTCTGGTCTGTGTTGGAGGGAGGATTTCAGGCGTTTCACTTGCTCCATATCCCGAATTCTCATTAAACCTGCTATAATTGGATTGGGCGTAATGGACATATGGAAATTGCGGTGCCGTTCATCATTAGTGTTTTAATTGCACCTATTTTGGCTTCCGCATTTTTCCCTCTAAATAAGTCATAGGAGTTGACGAGCCTTGTTACTGCTGGTCAAGTTACTTCATGCACACACACTGACGGCTGTGAATAATGTGATAATGAGAGGATCTCCTCCCTCAGAGTTTGATGATTTAGTGTCCATTGTGCTTCTTAGTGAGCACTGTACAAATTTGAGTGCTGATTTCTAAACAGGATATGATATTAATACAGTTTAGCTCCTTATTCTGTCACTGACATAAGAGATGTTCTGTAGAACCCACTGATGTTAAAAAGCACATCTAGTCCTAATGCAGCCAGTCTTCCAATTCTAATCTTTTAACACTCAGGTTCTTTTTTCTGAAACACACAGACTCTTTTGGTAATTATCCTTCCCATTTGGGTAATGAAAGATTTGTGAAACCACTTGAGCAAAATCTGGACATTCCTTATTTATAAAGTTTTCCCAAATTTTTCAACATGATTGATGCTTTTTGTCTGGCGTCAGTGGAGTCTCTGTCCACAAACGGAAATAAAAAAATCTCAGAAGACTTTATTTTGACCTTAAGTGCTGATAAAAACTGAAAAATATCAACTGAGACATTATATTTACAGTTACTTCGGACAGAAAACTTCACTGGAAATGAAATCACATTTAGAGAATAAACTAATAAGGGGAGACTTTTGACTCCTGTCTCTCCAGGACTATGGATGTTCTCATCAGCCTAAACAATGGCAAGTCCTTCATCTCCAGCGCCTACACCATCACCGCTTCCACATGTGTGAGTCTGAATTACCTTCATATTTGAAACACAAAGTATCTGAACTCATCCTGAGCTCTGATGTTTTCATGTACTTTCCACCTAACATAGGTAGTAATGGTATTGAAACATTTTCTGAAGTTGACAATAGTAAAACTGTTCATACAAGACAAGAAACTATAATAAAATATATTCAAACCTTAAACCAATGACATTTTTGTGCTATTTTGCATCCCTAACAATGCATAACAGAATAAGGAAATGTGTGATAAACTGAAAGGACGCATCTGCTGCATTGCAGTGATTTGATTGTTTGATGTCATCACTTCAAAAATGAAGATGTATAACCTAATAACTGTGAATTTGTTCTCTAGTCGGATGGTTTGGTGGTGGCCATCGTCTTCCTGGTGCTGCTGAGCCTTGTGGCTCTGGCTCTCATGTGGTGGTTCTGGCCTCTCTGCTGCAAAGTGGTGAGTACTGCTGCTGTGCTCACAACCCTCTGAATGCTGGGTATGCTCAGAGATAGCAGGTTCTGTGCTGACAAAACATGCATAATAAATCATATGTTTTCCGTCTTGCCACAAAAGTCAATGCTACCTTTTTTCAGTCGGATGAAAACAGGACTCCCAGTATCTCACTTTGGTAAAATTGGTTGCATTATGAGCAAACGGTAGCGAAAACCCAGATATCTTCTAAGATTTGTTTTTTGTCAGTTTCAAACATCCTGTTGTTGTAAACGCAGCTCGCCTTAAGAAATCCTCTTAAATGGCTGAGTTTAAAATTCAGTTGCAGTTGGGTTGTAGTTTATGTAGCCATAAATTAATGCTAACCAGCAGACCACATCATATTCAGCCGAGTTCGGAGCTGCCCATACGCAGCGTGCTCAGCAGTGGCAGTGGTGAAGGGAAGTGGTGCCAAGTATCGGTTCCTGTCCTCACCTGCAGTGGCTTAGCAGCACCACAGAGGAAGAACCTCAAACAGGAAGTGAAGAGCCCACATCCTGTTCAGCAATAGCTCATGAATGCATGTGACTACACACAAATTCTGAAAAGACATCAAGCCATTTTATATAAACAGAGCGTGCTAAAAACAAAACAAGAGGCGGATTAGCAGGAAAAGGATGTGAGTGACAGATTGCACCAAAGTTAACAAAGTCTTTGTTTGTGGAGGGCTCATATTAGGCCTACCTGGGGACTGAAGTGATTACTAATAATCACAGAGATTGTTTCTGGTTTAATCACATTTGAATCTGCCATGTCCACACTCAGACCAAAAATAGTTGTTCTGTTTTGGTAAACTCAGAAATGTTCTTTCTTTCTGTCTGCTGCATGGTTTGGGCCCTCGGCTTCATTTTCCTCTGACCTCTCCTGTTGGTGCTATTGTTTTCATAGTTGTTGTTTTGTCTTTGGTGACCCTGGAAGAGGAAAAAGCACAATGCATGTATTGCTTTACTAAATCAGTAGTGGACAAAACACAAACAATTTCAAGTTCTTGCACAGTGTTTTTGTATAGGATCAAAATCTGACAACACCATTGATTCGTCTGTTCTCTATACCGTTAATCCTATAGAGGATCGCAGGCACAGAGAGAGAAGGTAAACTCCACTCAGAAAGACCCTGGTCAGGCATGAGGATTGAAGCTGGAAGGATCAAAATCTCTTGATGCTGTTAATGTTACATTTCTTCAGCAAATAACATATTGTCAGACAGCACTGCCACTATATCTACAGTATAAATCTGACTTGCTGGAATGCAACAGCACCTCATGGCATCAATAAAATGGAGGTCGGGGGATTCTTACAAGGTTAAGCAAATGTCGTATTAATCTCTTTCTATTACAGTTAAAGGACATCTCCTGCTGTAGAAAGTTTTACTGACATTTTATTGGTGAAAACTACACAAATCAGCCAAAAAACTAAAAGGATAACATGAAAAGAGTGTTTGTTTAAACCTAAGTATTCACAACTAACTAAAAAGCATCATTAATTCAAACCCTGATCTGATCTGCATCATCACGACTGAGTGGGTGTGGTTTGATCCAAACTGATCCGATCCGACTGATGCTGCTGGCACCACAGCCAACCAACCCACCAACTGTCATAACGTTTTGGCTGAAATAGCATTAAACCCATATTGATGGATGCAGGTACAAGACATCTGTTTTCCTGCTTCGCTCCACCCACTTCAAACCAGTGAGAAAAGCACAGACAAACATCTCTCATGTCAAACAGCCAGATATTTTTGTTCTTGTGGGACCCATCACCCACAGTGAGAAGCTGATTGAGAAAACATGTTTTTAAGACCTTTAAGGTATAAAAGTCAGTGAAAACAGACCAGTACTGGCTAAGAATCATATCAAACAGCTTGTATGAATTCAGGCAGATGGGCCTGGAGATCCAGTCTGAAACCGGGCCAGTCCTGATCTGTAAAACAGTCCTGGCCAGTCAGAGCCCTTCTTAACAGTTTAACCTACTCTAATTTAACATTGAACAACATTTTCAGTTTGCCTGTTTTGTTTTTTTGTTATTTTGCTTATTCTCAGGCGAATGATGTAGCTGTTAGTGTTGCATGATTGTAGTTATAACTTAAAATGCCTCTTTAGTGGACTATTTCAGTACAGTCGCAGCAAGACCATCTTTACCGTAGAACCATTAAACTCCTGGGGGAGTCTTGATGAGAGTACCGAGTATTGATTCAACAAAGCAATATCAGTGCTGCCATCCCTACTAATGATCGCTCTGTTATCGTCCAGTACAAGTATATGGCATTGCGTGAGAATCTTGGAAAGACAGAACATAAAATCTTGACTCGTGTGGTTGAGAATTCAGAGGCTCTGGTGAATAAAGAGAATTTCATCAGTAAATGTTAATGTGTTTGTGTAAATGTGGAAGTTGGAAAGTTATTTGTTAGTTCCACAGATTGCTAAATGTTACCGGTCCCATGTGAACAGTAGCCGTTTACCCACAGGGACTCTGGACAGTACCCAGAGAATTTCAGGTGTTTGTTTTGATCCCGTGTCACACCAGTTGCATGAAGGAGCATCAGCAGCGCGCCCACTAGCTCAGTGTGATCAGTGTGAATTCTCCAGACAGTAACCTGCTCTGTTGGACATTACACAGATTAGTACCTGAGAGCTGGCAGGGTAAAGTCCATGTAATGATCCAGACAATCCTCCAGGTAATATCTAGATAAGTTCAGGGCTGCAGTGCGTGGCTGAAGAGTCTCAGGTGTTTAAGGTGGAACTTGAGGCTGCGTTTAATTATCAAGCCACAAATCTGCAGTGAAATTCTAAGTCCTCCTTTATTGTTCCCTCTTCAACAATGTACTTCAGAGTTTTTTTTTCCATTTAATCCATTGTTTAAACCTTTGTTTAGTCCTGGATATTCATGAAACCTACTACTGTAAACTCACCCTCCCCTCACCCCCTTTGGAAAAACACTCTCACCCACATAGCCACTTACAAAGATCCACAGCAGATTATCGTTTGGGGCTATAAGAGAGGGGCTACAGATGGTGAACCCCCTCTTTTTCTGTCTCTCTGCTTTTTTTTTTACTGAGATGTGATAAAGGCAAATTTACCTTCCACATCCAGTCCTTGCTTCCCACTGCACCGCCGTTCCACCTCAATCATGCTGCCCCTTAAATGATAGACATCACCTGGCTTTGTGGACCTGTGGGGAACCCATCCAGGATGAGATGGAAGCATATTTTGGAAAACCAACAAAGGCATTAAAATGTAAACCCCCTGCAGCATGTCTGGCCACGGACGTGTTTGTCTTGGTGGAGAGAGCTGCTGTTGCCTTCCATCGAGGGACGCGGCAGAAGAGGAGGGCCATGTGTGGCTTGTTAATATTTAAACCCCCAGTCTGCCAGGTTTCAGCAGTCGGGATGAGCCCCCCCACACACACACACACACACACCCAACCTCTTTCCTACAATCCCTCTCTCTCGGTCTCTCTTCCACATGGCCTGATGCTCGGAGAGAGGTCATACAAGCTGTGGTGTAGGCATTTCTTTGTTTATGATTCGAAAATTCACCTCAGAATAATGTGGCCTCAAATAGAAGGATTCAGGATTGGAGATGATGCAGTTTTGAATTACACAGCAAATGATTAGCTGTTAAACTGGATGCACTTCTAGACACGTTTCACCAAAGTTAATGTGGTAATAACCTCTGATTGTCTTTATGCTAAAAGTTGACAGAATTGCTCTCCGATGCAGAACTTTCATCTTCGTTCGTTCCTGTTTCCCTCAGAATCACTTTAATTTTCTACAATCAAGTTAATGTGTCCATATGTGTCCACATCATTTTAAATTTCCAACTATGCTACCTGCCACTGATCCATCATGAAAAGCCTTGTGAAACAGATTGACCCAGCACAATTTGAGTTTGAGGTCGGGAATAAACAGATTATTAAGTCCAGTTGGACAGTTACAGAGACAGCCATATGGGGACAATGCCCTGAGCTCCTCGGATTGGTCCGATTCCCCACAGTGCTGTGGCCGCAGCGTCAAGGCACTGGGGCTGGTGTCAGATGGCTAAGTATCCTGCGGTTTAGTTTTTAATTACGCCGCCACGTCGCTGAGTGCTCCTCTTCACATCTGTCCATCAGGTAGCTGGGAAAGAGCAGCAGAACCCCGTCATTTGTATAATGCTTTACTTATCCCACAATATGTCCATGAAATCTGCTGCATAATTACTTAATAAAAAGCAATAATCCCGTCAGCGTAAGGTGTGGCTGAAATGATGTTAATCAGCGTATGGGGAGGCTACCAGTAGACCTTTACTGGATTTGCTTACAGCCAGTTGTGTGTCAAAAAGCAGTTAATTAACCCCAATTGATTATTTTTCATTATTCTAATGACTAAAGTATGTGGAGAGTGTGATGATATCCCAGTGAGTGAAACAGCTGTTAGGATCTATGATATGCTATAATTACATTGCTCTTTTTTCCTCCAAAACCAATTTAGCAAATGCATAACCACTGATGACAGTGTAGTGTCTGTGGACAACGGCCTGCCTTCCAGTTTGCCACAAAGCTCAGTTATATTCTCACTATATGCTCAGTGTTTATAGGCCAGCTACTCTGTGTGTGGTGCTGAGGACCACTGTTTTGTAAGAGGGCTGTGAAATGAAGCTGTATCTCAGAACAACTCTGGGAAAATCTTGGTGGAGCAGTGAACAGGAAACACTTCCTCCTTTCTTATCAAACTCTGCTGATGAGCCTTGGAGCAAAGTACCACACCTTAAGCTTTCAGAACTGAATCTCACATCCTCCAACTGCTTCCTTTATCAGTCTAGCACCCAGAGATTTTTCATTTATATAAAATGGGAGACATTTATGCTTCATAAATAACAGACTAATAATTTTAGCGTGGCCCCCACCCCCGTAGCTTTGGGGTCAAATCATCTCTCTTTCGCATCTCTCTTTCCC